ATTCTTATAGTGTCAATAATATTATTAATTGCCAAGATAGTATCTTTTCCTGGCGTAAATCCATATTGATTTGCATTTAGTAGATTATTGCTACCAAGAAAATAAACAAGCCTATTGTTAATCAATTTATCGAGAACTTTACCCAAAGTGGGTAATAAACAAATTGGCCTGTAAGAAGCCGATTGCTCAGGAGGTTTATCTTGTTTTAAAAGCAAAACCAATTTGCCAATCTTCCATGTCTCAGGAAAATGTCCCTGTTGAAAACAAATATTAAATAGATCCAAAATGAATTTCCTATTTACATAATAAAGTTCTTTATAAATTTCCAAAGGAATGTTATCATGACCGGGAGCTTTATTCATTTTCATACTCTCCAGAGCAGCAGAAAGCTCATCGGCAGTAAACAAAACATCATTAAAAGACTCCAAATCAACTTTTATTTTCCTTCGGATATCCCGATGTTCACTTTCATCCTCCTCTTCTTCTTTATCTTCCATAAAGTGGAAGTTCATAATTTCCTTTATTCTATCTTCTATATTTTCTGTGTAAGTACCATTACTTTTACGGATAGCAGTAAAAGTGACAGGATTCATCTGCTTATCTGTGGCAATTTTAAAATGCGTGCCAAACGGACTTTGCAGAGACAATTTATCCCATATTTTAATCCAGTGATTTTCCTTTGCAATTCTAATGTTCTTTCTATATATTGCAAGATGTTTACAATAAATGTTTTTATAATTTAATCTATCTTCGCCACAGGAATTCTGAAATCTTCTTCTAGAGGCTCGAACTTTTTTCCTTTCAGTATTTAATCCATTATTCCACCATGGAGAATAGATTTTCTTTTTTCCTGTATCGTTATAATTAAACCGAACATTTTCACATATGTCACATATGATAGAATTAATTTCATGTAATTGAGATTCTATATCTTCATTGATTTCAATGCCAGAAAAATTTTCAAACATAAGCTCCTTTAGAGCAATCCAGTTCAATCTCTTCAACTTAATTTGGTTTATTTTGTGTATCATCAATTATCACATTTCTAATCTCAAAATGAATATAATTATGATCACTAAGGCTAATTTTTATCACAAACTTGCCAATTACATATCTCAATGTCTTTAATGGCCAATCTGGAAAGCAGTAATATCAATCCATGAATTTCCCAATACTGAAGAGTATGTGGGAAAACTGTTTCTATTGTTGTTTACAACAAAGTTATTTTCAAGTAGAAATTCAGCTAATTTTTTCCCCTTGAATCCATGTGGTTTTGGCCCCACAATGGATGTTTACAATTGACATCACCATTTATTACTAATGAAGTATTTTTAAATCTATCAAACAAAGAAGACAAACAACGTAAATGATCATCAATAGTTTCTGACGGGGAAAAATAGCCTGTAATCAAGAGAAAAGGACTTTTTCCATCCACTAAAACAGCAACTATGTCTTTAGAAGCATAAATTTGTAAAATGGATAAATTTTCATTGAATACAAAGACACCAGATCGTATGTTCTCACCTTTATTATAATATGCTCTGGCACTTATTGGTAAACCATATATCTTTCCTTGATAAACATAAGGTTCTTGTATGCAGATCAGATCAGTATCACTTTCTGTAACCTCAACTCTCAATTGTTCTGTGTCCTTGATTGCATGATGTAAATTGATTTGACAAATTTTAATTGTATGAGATTTACAAGGCATAATCAATTTTTTTGGTCAATAAATCAACTTGTCTAATATAACAAGGACATTCTTTAAATGTATTTTCATGTTTAGTATTAAGGCCCAGTCCAAATCTCGAATTTGCTATTGTACAATTATAACATTTATAATCTGTTGCGGTACATTCAGTTTGAGAGTGACCTTCTAAACTGCATTTATTAAATAGAGGTTTTTGTACAATCTTTTTTAGTGTGTCCAAAACCATAACATTGGAAGCATCTGGTAACTCTTTTATATTCTCTAATCTGGTGCCTTGTCCATTTTAAATAAATTTTCTTGTCTTTCATAACCAGATTAAATGATTGTGGGTCCAAGGAAACGATCCAATGACATCCCATATTTGATTTCATATTAAATCTCGGTTCTATAATCGCATTCTCCAGAACGACATTCTGAGATTTCAGTAAATCCCTTATTTCCTCTCCATTCAAGGCAGGATCAACATTATAAATCATAATTCGTGGATGTATTTTCTTAGGTCTTTTTACATCCAATTCTTCTTTCAATGTACTATTTTCTCTTATTGCATTTTCAATTATTGACAAATTGTCGTATTTAGTGACCTTAATCAATACTCCACCATTTTTTATTTTTTGTACTCTCTGCACACCTATTTTAAGATCAGTTGGAGAAATGTTTTTAATTAATTTCTCATTTACTTGTTCAGAAGTTTGATTCCTTTCTTTAGGATATATTAGAGTCACAAATTCTACTTCTTGTTTCTTAAAACTTTTTGTTCTAGATCGTGATCTTGATCTTTGTTGAACTTTTTCTGCATAAGTAGCAGTTTGCTTTTTATCCTTTCCTCTTATAATATTTTCTCTTTCGGCCAATCTTCCTCTTAGTTCACCATTTTCAATAAGAACACTATTCAGTGCATTCTGCAGTTTTCTAAATATTTCTCTAATTTTATTACCTACAGATTTGTTCACCTTATCAGATGGGTTACCTAAAACTTCATCCAATTCTTTAGAGTTACAGAGAGGTAAAAAATAAGTTACTTCTTACCTCAGTCGCTTTGAAAAACTAATTCTCATTATTAAAGAACTTACCAGAAAATGAACGAAGAAATTGCAATGAATTTTTTAGCCCAATAAAATTATTCTTCTGTTTATAAATTCAAATTAAAGCAAGTTAAACCTCGTACAGACTAGTTTTTAACTGCGTTTGTAAACTAAAATTTCGTTTGTTAAAATAAAAATATTGTTACTTATTACTGCACAAGCACTAAACATCATTCATTTTTAATATAATAGTGTAACAGATCAAAAAGTATTTTTTTTTCTTTTGCAGTTTCAAAGTATAGTTATTTCTATGCTAAGAACTATCGATGAATTTAATAGAATACTTTTATAACTTGATATTTCTGATTAGTGCCTCAGAGACGGGTAGTGAGTGATATATTGACCGATTGCCGTACAGAAGGGCTCAAGTTCGAATGCCATATAAAGCATGGATGCACATCATACCCATCTGTTCATAGGACAAATGTCTTCGTAAAAGATTTTCTGAGTTAACCTGTAACGTACATAATATTTGTGTTCAAAGATATTAGAAAAGTATATAAAATAATGTTTACAAAATATATTATGTAGCAATTAGAATTTAATCGTAAACACACTTTCAATATGAAACTCAAAAACGAATGAAAACACGTGCCTATAACTTGTAAGAAAGTTCTCTGATCAACAGGCACTGTGAAACAACAACAAAAATTTGAAAATATTATTACTTAATATTTACAGCCAACATATACAAGACGAAATCCAGTGTAAGCATAACAATTAAATTTTCATATGCAGAATAGGTAATCCATAGAGTAAGATTTCGATTCTTATAACATGACTTGCGTGTGGTACAAGGTTACTTTAATATTTTCAGATATGAGCTTCCATAAAAAGTAAGTACTGAAGATATCTGAGAAACAACATTCTCAGGAGATCTTCATATATCCCGGGATATTACGACTTGAACAGGACATCCTTAAGATGTTGATTTACGATGTCCTCAGGATATCTGAAAATCAACATCCTGATGAGATCTTCATATATCCCGGGACATTGAGACTTGAATAGGATAGCCTCAGGATGTTGACTTAAGAAGTCCTCAGGATATCTGAGAATCAACATCCTCAGATATCCTAACTGCTTCCCGGGAGATTGCGACTTAAATAGAATATCCTGAGGATGTCTTGTGTTATGGGGGAATATTCTTATATGTTCAACATTCACACTTAGTACATGGTGAATATCGATATTCACCGGTGTAAGTCAGAAATAAGAGTATTTGGAAAATATTTCGGACATACACCAAGCGACTATGTGAATGTTGACATTCACCGGTGAAAGTCGACATTCTCCAGATTTCGGTGTTTCACCGTAACATATAATTCATGGATAGTATATAACAATACTTGTAGCGAAGTATAATCCTTGTGACGTGAGGAACGAGGGTCTCTCTAGTTGAGATATTAAGAGCATTCTGGCGTTTTGTTCTCATGCAAAAAATCTGCAGACTGAATTAGGTACGCATGCTTAATTTGTTCAGTTGTATTTTACATCCTCTGATTCGTTATATCTGGAACAATATCAGAGGAAAAACAAGATCATTGGTTCGACAGCCCTCTGGAAATCGAGAGGCTTTGACGACAGACACAGTGCAGAACGCTAAAATCTATTGAGACTGGTCGTGAAGTTATGTCTCTCGTACTGTCAACTGGAACGAATTATTGCGTCTGCGATGTTAAACCACATCGTGTGACACATCGCCAAAGCTTGAAAACAATGATTGCGGGGCAGCACAGACGAATTTCTCATCTCTGTGGGGTCCGCCGCACTCTTTTACCCGTATAATCCTGTAATATATATGTAAGGCCTTGATTTCCATCCCCTCATTCATATTTGCTGAAACATCTGCAAATTCACTTTTAGATGTATTATCTACTTAGTATTTAGAACGGGTGAGGGAAGAGTTTTTTGTTCCCTATTACTTCATCGTTCGTAATATTTCCTTGGACATTTAAATTTCAGAAATCGGATTTTTCAGTTTAATACCTTGTGTAAAGTCTCTTAATTTCAATTCATTAGCCGTATGATTTGAAATAATATCCAAACAAAATTGTATATAACATTTATACCTTCTAATAAAGAGAAAAACAGAAGAGTTATGATGAATATTTTCTAACTGCAAACAGTCGAGCTCTTTTCTGTGAATTCTTAGTTGCTTCTGCAATTATTTTTAACAAAAAAAAAATTTTTTTTTCCCATAGGTGTTTCCGGATGTGGACCTATCCCGAAAGCTGATAATTCTCAACTCATTATAGAACCTGAAAAAGAATTTTATGTATTTGGGGAATCTGTAATATTTTCATGTCCTACAGGACACTCTTTAACTTCAGAGCTTCAACTTGTCGTGTGTATAAGCAACACCTGGTCAGCAGATGAATTTCCAGATTGTAAAAATGTGTAAATCGTGTGTAAATATAGAATATTAATACAGTCCTTTTATCAAAAGAAAAAGACACTGAATTAGAAAAATTAGCTTTTTCAATTCTGAAATATATCTCATGAAACTCTAGCATTCTTGTTAATACATTTTAAATGAATCGATACAGTAAGTCCTTGCCGAACGCGATACGTTATGCGTACGGCCAAAATCGTGTTCGGCAAAGTAAACTTTCTATGCTTCTATGGAAAAAACATTTTATTCATAATTCAGATTAAAAAAGTAAATATAATTTAAATAAACCTGAGTATTGTTGTAATTAAAAGAAAATAAAACGAAACAAATATTTATTTAAAGGATTTTTAGTACTATTTAAGCCATGCGTGATCAATTATTTTTTAGAACCATCTGATCCGGACACCACATGATTTCCTTGTAGAAAATACTAAATTATACGCATTTTTTGCTGCACTTCATTTAAACCTATTTCCCGGAATTTCATTAGAGATATAATAATTCAGTCCTCATTTTCTGGCAAGGCAAAAACACATAAAAACTCATTATTAAAAATTGTAAAATACAGAAAACATGAAACACCAAATACAGTTAAAAACAACAACTTTTTCAATTAAAATCAGAGTTTCTTCGCAAAACAAGTAATTTCGCCAGCAAGCAAGAAGGCAGATTTTTCGGTGCACAAAACTAAAAGTTTACTTTTGGTTTCACTTGGCAAAAAGACACTGAAGGTGCAGAAACTGGCTTGATTCACTAATCTTCTATGTTTCAAATGTAAACAAATATGGCTGTTATTAAAAATATAGGTTTAGCCGCACTTAAACAACTTTTAAATTGTTAATACTTCTACGACTATTGCATGCAGATTAACTAAAGGCATAAAAACCTTAACCGGAAGGTAAGAGAAACATAATTCAATCATTTTTACAATTTACCAACATATAAGAATAAAAAATCACCTCACGGAGCCGAGTAACAGAGTAGTTATATATATATATATATACGTTAATTGATTATATTATCTCCTAAGTTTAATTAAAGTAGAAATATATTAAAAGAGTGAATCCATACTAGTAAGTTATAGTTTGAAAGATGTTTTGAAGTAACATGAAAGTAAAATGTTAAATCATCATGAAGAACAAAATTTCAATTGTAAAAGGAAAAATTAAATTAAATGCATGTAATCATTGTCATTGATCGGAAATTAATTGACTTTTCAAGGGGAACAAACCAACTCCCGTTCAACGAACAATAATTGATAAATAAATACGTAAATACGAAGGTGTTTCGTCTTTACTCGAGTTATAAGGTTAAAGCCAAACCGGCAATTCTAGTCAGGCCAAATATTTCCGCGAATAGAAAGGATTATGAACCAATGCTTGATACTCAAAGAACTTATTCTTATGAAGCAATTTTAGTCAATTCAATTTTAAGTAAAAAGCAATTTCTGTAGAGAAATTCCGAAAAAACTCGAGTAACCGTCCCCGACACCTTCATGTTTATGCATTTGAGTTCTATATTATTTGTAAAAATTAAACATTGGAAATTGTCATTATGAAATCGAATTCAAAGTAAAAAGTTGAAATAAACATAGAAGATTACAAAATAAGATAAATAATGCAAACTTTGTAAAAACAAATCAAAGATAATATAAAAATAAAAAATATAATAAGAACAGTGAATGTACATGAAGATATAAAGGCCATGAAGATATAAAGTATTAAATAACTTACATTCTTTCTAGTGGGGAGTCGGCAAAGTGTTCTCTTCGCCTGACTTCGTCTGACTCAGAAGTGTAGGGTGTCCTAAAAATTCTTAGCGGCAGCGGGGGGCTTTGAATAATATCAGTCGGTAAGATTTGGGTGAAGTAATTTATGGTAGTGGGTGGGACTCGAAATTCTTGAGGGATGTATTATGTGGAGTTCTAATTTGAGTGAAACTGTCTGTTAAGATTTTTTTGAAAATACTAGTGAACGGAAATTAATTTCTGGCTAATTGTCGTGTCGAAATGATTAAGAATTTAAGAAAGGAAAAAAGTAATTTTCACTGTCTAAGAGCTATTAGACAGACTAAAGATTATGAAATAGGCCCTTTTTTTAGTAACAGCATTTTTGGTTTCTTTAGAGCGATTCATTTCGTAGAGGCAATCTCCCTAAGACGACTACCTCTAAAAGATAAACGTATTTCTGAGAACATAAGTGTATTTTGGTATTGAACATCACCTCTCTAACGCGACCACTTGCCAAAGATGCATTTTTATGTGTGGCTGGTCGCCTTGGAGAGACCTCATTGTGTGTCGTGTATGCGATTACTGTTATTGTTTCTGACAAAAGTTTTTAAAAAACAAATAAATGAGCACATATAGTGAAAACCCTCTCTAAAACGGGCACATACGTTTCCAGGTTACTCTGATAGTCCTAAAGAGATCATATTTATTTATGTTCTTAGAAATACTATCTTCTTAGGGAAGAGACGAGAAGGTTCACTGTATGTTTTTTAATTTTAAACCTTTTTTTTTATATTATAAAACTCAAATAGCCTTAATTTCAACAGATCAAATAAATGAATAAAAATTAATAAATAATTAATTAAAAATAATTAGTAGACAACAAGAATACCAGTTAGAAAAATTAATATAAACCCATATAAAGCAATAGATGATTTATTTGGCATCTATTATATTGATACCAGTAAGAAAACCAGTAAAAGCCAATATAAACCAATACAAACCAGTAAGAAAAATCCACAGAGATCAATAGAAACCAGTAAACGTCAGTACAGACTAACAGAATTCTACCAGCAGAAAATTTTACTGGTTTCTATGGGCCATTTTGAAATCAGTAAAAAAAACTCACAGAGACCAAAAGAAACCAGTAAAAGTCAATAGAAACTCATAGAATTTTATGGGCACCCATAAAAACTTTTACTGGTTTCTATGGGGCATTTTTAGCAGGGTATATTACTAGCGAATTTTTTATCGACTAACGTTGCTCCACCATTTTCTGGGGAAAATTATTTTTAGGCTCTCTTGAAAAAAGCGAAAGTTAAGTTCCTTTTACCGTATCTTTTACTAAATTCAGGTATACGGATGCTGTTATCACTTTGAAATAGAATTGCTTTGTGTAATGTTTTTAAAAGAATAACATATTTCTATCACTTCCATACAAATACAAATACAAATATCTTTAATGTGACGGAGGATTTTAAGTTAAAGACAGGATAAAATTCTTTTGGGAGTCTTGCAAGGTCACAAGTAGTTTAGATAAACTGTAGTTACAGTGTAACTTTTATTAGTGGCCAACGTAAAAAAGAGACACTAACACCAGAGACCGAACCTTCGACCTGGATATTCCTTACAAAGTTTGATGAAACGGGCTCTGGAAGGGACTCCTCAGTGGCGGCGCAGACCCCACAGTCCCTGCCCGGCTTTATACATAGCCTCGGCGAGGTAAAAATGCTAAATACGAAGAAAATACACTATGTCACCTTTGCCTCGGGGCACCACTCCCTCAGCATCAGTTAATTCATGATCGGTGCCTTGCCTTACTCTGTCAGTCCCCGTCACTGGGACTATGAGGGCCAAACCCCCATCGAATAGCCCCGCTTATATCTACATATCAGCTCCACAACAGCCGGGGGAACGGACACGACAGTACCAGTACGGTCCCTGCCAAGCCCGAACCTACCTGAGTACAATACTCGGGTCCTGTGAAGAATGTTTTTATACCCCAGTGGTTGAGACTGCCTACGTACAGATCCTAACCAGTACTTCCCAGGACGTCTCTTGAGTCAACCCCCTGGGGGGGGTAAAAAAGAGACAAAAATGTATAGTTTTAACATGATATAAACTGGCGCAACAGGCGTAGTGGGCCGTGGCCTACAGTGCCTGATATGGGCTTCCCGACCGTGGACCCGGGGTGCGTGAGTGTATGTCTTGAACAAATGGTCAGCTTGTCGCAGAACCATCGGTATTTAGTCTCCAAGCGAACGTGGTACTCATTTTATCGACTCGTTCAAGGGATGAAAGGCTGAGTGCCTAAGAGAAGGGTTGCTTTCGTGAAGGAAGTTTTAAGGGAAACTGGCTCGTATACACGTTACACATGGGGAAAACCACGAAAACGCTCATGCAGCCACCCTGTTGCTTAATCAAAAATATGTGAAGGATTTACTTAACTCTTAAACGCATAGTGTAGCATATCTGCAACATGTAAAATAATTGTGCTTTGGATGGGATTTCCATTAACTAATCCATGTTTCTTTTCTGCTACTATATGTATATAACGCCTTTTCTCCAATAGACTGCAGTAATGCTGTTTTTTTTTTTTTTTTTTTTTTTTTTTTTTTTTTACTAAATATGGTGGGAATTATCACAGGACATCAGATTTTCAGAATTCGCTGATGTTTTGCTTAGTCTGATTCGTATTTGGAGTTACGTTATTACAAAATAAAAATTCGCCTACATAAAATAAAGTATGTAGATTCATGCTTTTTAAAATAATTACTCATTTTCCTTATTTTAGTAATGGGAGCATTTTTTGCGTGTGTTGCATATCTGCAACATCATGTGAATACTGCATTATTACATAATTTTAGGATATGTTACTATACGATTTCACTGCAGCATTTCAAACTGTTAATTTGTAAGTTTAGCATATTTAGGCACTTAGTATCATATATGGATTAATTATTTGTAAAAATGAATTTAATAACTACTACACATCAGTTCCATTACTTGCATTAACAGGTCATACTCTCATTAGATACAGCACGCAGGAATAGAATTCTTAATTGTAAACTTCCTACAGAGAAAAACTAAAAACGTTTCCACGAGGTTCAAGTGATGAATTTGCATCAAATGTGGATGGTGTTGCTGTAGCATCCGTAATATGGAAAGACAATCGATGTCTCTCCACATTCACAGGCTAATTTCCAGAAAAGAATGTAAAGCGTTTCGAGTGATCTACAAAAACTCATAACGAAGTTAACTGCCTAGAAGTTGTCACAATCTATAAAAACCATATGGATGGAGTAGACTTGTTAGACAGTCATTTAGGTCGCCATAGGATCACACTATAAGGCATTTCTCCCGCCTTCTTAGCGTGCCTTCGTGGTGTGGT